CATGTCATGTGTTTTTGTGCCCAATCAAGTCTGTCACTTTTGTGCTTTAATGAAAGTGGTGGCATTACAGCTTTTTTTCTGAATTTTAACATTGGAGATTTATTTAAAACTCTCCACACTGTTGTGCTGCTACAAGGCAAGTCTAATTCTTGTTTTATTTTTCTTACTGATGTTTGTTTTGTGGAGCAAACCTTGATGATTTGTCTACAATCTCGAGGAGTAAGCTTGGGTTTTGGACCTGTCTTGAATTTTGGTACATCCTTGCCACGTCTTTTTGATAAATAATCACCAACAGTTGATTTTGGACGATTTATATATGCTGCAATTTCTCTTATTGACTTGCCTTGTGATTTATAGGCATCAATCTTCCCTTTTTCATAATCAGATAAATTCTTTGTTCTACCCATTTTAGAACGTTGAACAACGTAAAGAATTTGTATTACAATTAGATATGTAAGCTAATTTGCATATTTCAATGCTTGAAACTAAACAATATTCTGTTTAAGTCATAAAATGAGTGCCTGTCCGGATAAATATGTAACAGTTTTTTTGTATAAGATTTTCAAAAATATTATTTTCAGTGACAAAATATTAATGTTTGATTAAAATTCTTATTTTGCAGTGTAGAAACATGTAAGTCCATATTATTTTTAATAAAATATTTGTCACTTAATGCAGCAAATTTGTGTTTCACTTTAATTTTTTCGTGTCCGTATAAATTTGAAACACACCTTACTGCTGCAGCAGTTCCTCAGCATCTTTGAGAAGTGGGGACGATTTCAATAGTCACCAGGTATGGAAAAATTGACAACAATCCTACAGGACCACCAGCTAGAATGCACTTGACTGTATGGTTTAAACCGTACCATTTATGGCAAATGCAAATGCTTGCACTGTGCAACTTTTTGGTTGCCATGCTCCAGAATTCTTAATAATAAGTACACGAATGGGCAAATTGGAAGAGAACCAGTACATTCCCTCATTTTAAATCCTCTAGATTGGTGTCTCGACCTGTGGTCTGTAGGCAGATTTAAACTAAAACTCTCCAATGATGATTCAATTTAATAGTTTACTTCCAACTTAATTATGTTTCCATATGAATTGAAAACATTTTTAGATTTCAATGTTTAGATTTATTACATTATAAAAATGACACAATATGCTCCAAATGTTCATAATACCCATATGAGTTTAAAAACAAATTAGGCCTGCATAAGATAGTGGTCCTTGAAATTTTTCAGACAATTTACTGTCCTCTGGCTTAAAAAAGGTTGAGAAACACTGCTCTAGAAAGCTGTAATACCCGTAGTGCATTTGACAACTGATGGTAAGACACCACAGGCCCCTTAGATTTAATAAACCAATATTTTGAAAAAATTTTCATATCTAAAAATTAGGGATTAATAGATAAATTTAATTGAATTTAACAAAAAGGGTCAAAAATTTTGATATTTGTGCATAATTGAATATGCAAGCACTAGGTTTTGACTACATGGAGGACTTATCACACATATACACTATTGATGCAGCTGTGAGATCCAAATAGCCCCTGGGTCTAAATAATAATTTAAAAATACAGTAACATTTTTGTAGAAAAATATTCTTTCATTTTGATGGGAAAATAATGTTTTTCTAACGTGGGAAAGCAGATAACAGATCCACTTCCTTCCATGGAAGTTGAAACATCCTCTGTTTTTCCCTTATCTGTTAAACATCTCACCACGATAGGAATTGCCTATCCCTCATTTATCCCCTTCCCATCCGTTCACGTGGAAGAATCCTAGTATGATGATTGGTCGTAAATCAGGATATATAGTCGAAACTTAACAGAATTTGAGGAGTTTGTCGACATATCCCAGAGAAGTCCATACAAGCTCCTGATGGCCAACGCCCTTAATCGTATCCTATTGAGTTAATATTGAGTTAGAAACTTAAAAGATATATTAAATATTGTGCCTATCCAGACCTCTCTTGAACCGAAGTCCAAGAACGTTATCAATGAAGTACCTTCGCCAAATAAGAAGACAACAAAGCCAACTAAACAGGTTGTATGTTTATGAATGAATTGTGAGCTCTCTCTCTCGACATTGTATAGGTTAAGTAAGTCCATTACTCTCCTCAGCGCATCTAATTGTATTTATTTGCTATAGTCATTCGTTTAACTCGAAATATCTAACCAAATTTTTCCTTTTTGTATAATCTAGTTTATTTTTAGTTATTAAATTTTCTATATTTTTATCAAAGAAATGTCTAGTGTTGACTCTCTGAATCAGATCTACGGCATAATTTCACGTGTGTTTATCCGTATTACGAGAAGTAGATAAACTGGTGTCAGTCCTGACATAGATCCAGATCCTATGATTTAGATCTAATATTAAAGCCCTCCAAATTCGTTTCCCTAAGTTCGGGAAAGGCCATTCTTGTAGACGCCTGAGAACTATTCTCATGGAATAGATTGCCTATTAAGTGATACAGGAGTAACAAACTACCCTGTACCCCAGGCTAGAACTCACACAGCTGAAGAAATCACACAGAAATGGAGGAACGCTGGTTATTTATTGTAACAGCGGTATGTGTGATTTGTGTCCGATTTTTCCACCTGCATCAGTAGTGTGCGATAGGTCCTCCACATATTCAATTATAGTAATGTAAAGATGAAAAGCAAACCGATATCCGCACATTTATAACTTTCAATGCAAACATTGCTTTCTCATATGTAAGGGTATCACAATATGGCACATATACATCTGTTGTGGAATATCAAAAGCAGACTAAGGCCACAGAAATTATTTGAAAACAAGACATTTATTAGCAGAGCACATATCAATAATGACAAAAGCATTCTGACACATTTACAATCAATTGTTTATCTAAAAAGACCAAATGCACACTAACAAAAGAAATAATCACATTTGAAATTCCTAAATTTAATTATAACTAATGAGAAGCTATTTATTTAAGTTGGCGATCCAAAATCAATTCTAATTTAACCGACAAGAATTTTACCATAGGATATTTTCATTTAGATTATTGGCAGTGTATTTCCTACCTTTTAGTTTTTGTTAAGAGTTTGCTAAAAGTAAAATAAAAATGAACAATTTGGATTTCTCCTTTTTATTTGCTGTCTGCAAATAAATATAAAAATATGTTTAACAAATGGCACGTGATATATATATATATATGTATATCATGGAAAGAGGTAAGACGAAAAACCTTCCTCCAAACAAATGTCGGCATTTTAAATTAAATAAACTGATGTTAAAATATTTTCATAAATCAAGTGTTGGAGAAGAAGCAAATTAAAAATGTCAAAAAAAATGATACAATATGGCCAACTATTAAACAGTTTCTGAAGATTATTTTCCAGATCCAAAGCAGACTTCCAAACTGATAAATGCTAAAGAAAAAGCTAAAAGTATATTGTTATTAATATATATAAATTTTAAATGACTCGTTCATGTTACTTTTCTTCTGTTTTTGTTTTTTCCTTAATTTTTTGTTTTTTTTTTCTTTTTTTGGGTAAGCGTAAGGTGACGTGGGATCCGATCGATAATTTGAGCCTATTGAATTACAGGCCATTCTTGTATTGACACACTGTGTTATGTTGCAGGCTCTTAATTCGAGATTTGCTTTCCGCCAGCAAAATACTCTCGACTCTGCAATGGCGGCACGGGATCGGTCGATAAATTTACCTCTTGCCAAACTCTCACGTTACGAATATCTAAAATTTTACCCTTTACAATACTTTTTACGGACGCGACTCCCGGCCGCACTTTTAAATTTAGTGTTGGTTTAATTTATTATTTTTGTTTTTTTTCCCTTTAAGAGCTGCAACATGATTATACTAAATCCAAAGCACTTCATGTTTGGATATGTCCACATTTTAAACCCCTGTATCTGCCTTGCTTCTACCCCGTGAACCAGGTTTAGGGGATCTTTTTTTTGCACTTATAGTGCTTGCCGATTCGAATATTGCAGCTTATTACTGCATGCTGATGAACTCTTCTTCTTTATATGAAGGGCGAGCAGTGGCAAGACATACAGGATGGTAACAAGCATCCCCGGCAGCAGGAAAGGATGATGATTATCCTCCGTTTAGCTGTTATGCCAAGCAGCCACCCACTCACTAATCGGGGTGAATTGGATATTAAGCTCTCTCCCCATACAAGGGGTGTCTAGATATTGTTTCACACCCAGGGTGTCCATCCCTCGTATAATACAGCCAAATTCTCCAAATTAGTTGCTTCTTTGATGACAAAGTCAACCTAAAAGTAAATATAAACCATATAAATATAAAGTAAATATGACTTCTAAAAAATCATACTTTGTATGATGCAACACTAAAATAAAATATTTTAATGTTGACAAGTGTCAAACATTCTTTATTGACAAAATATATAACTAGGTTTAATTGTATGTCTACCCTAAATATTTGGAGATATTTATAGAAAGTGATGACACACACTGTGTGCAATAAGAGAATTAGATTTACAAATAAACCATACTTTTTAGTACAAGTATTTATGGCTGCATGCGTCAGTTTGTGAGAAAAAACCATTATGCTCTTCGTGGTCTATCTGACCGAGAAGAGCGTAACGGGTTCTTTCTCCTTACTCCTTTCTATAGACAGACATACAGAAATGAATAATAGCGTAAGTCTTGTGAGAATGGCCGAACCAATTTCTATGAAATTTTGTATGTTATTCGTGATAGTCCAGGGAAAGAAATATAAGCAAATTTTATAAATGGAAAGTAGTCTATAAGCCTATATACATTTACTCTAACAATCATCGTAATTCTAAGAACCACAAAATTTGGTTCTTTTGCATGAATGTTGTTTGTGAAGTTGTGTGTGAAAGTTGTGTGTGAAGAGAACCATGAAATTCAAAAACAATAAATTAATGTGGTTGTTAATGGGTGAAAGCCAATCAGCCTGTTAATGAGTCTAGAATTTTTTCTCTCACATACATTTTTGTGTGTGTATTTTATATCAAGTAAAGTTGACATACTGATATAAATCATTTTCTCAAGAAAAGTCAGATACCTTGGCTAGTCTATTTACTAAAATGAAAAACTTCAAGTTGAAGGAAGATGCCAAATATCAGCAGGTAGAAATCCAGAAGCTGTTTCTTGCAGTAAGTGTTGTATAACTAAATGCAAAAGATAGTTTGAAAGCAGTGTGTATTCTATAATTAACAAAAGTCTGAAGTTTTGTATATTAAATCTACCATTTTCTTTTTTAACTGTGATATGAAATATTATTAGGGAACAATCAGATATCACAATATTAATCATTTTTAAGGAATGTTCAATCTATAAAATTAGATAATATTACTGCTTCACAGAAAAACTAATTTTTTGATCTTCATGTTAATTATTATTTACTGCTTCATATGCTGCACTAGAGTATAATAAAACAAACTTCCATCACTATGGTGAGATTTCAAAATGCCAAGTGTACTCAATATTTTAAGAGATAAAAGACAAGTGCTAAATTGAAGAGCAATTCTTAAAGTTTTTTTACACAATGTTCGATGTAGGTAGAATGGTTGCGTTCATGGCTAGCCAAGCTTATCTGTCACTATTTTAGTGTATTGGAACAGTATGCAGTGCCACAAATTATTGAGGAAAATGTTGTCTTTTGGCAAGACCAAATTAACCAATCAAAAGGCCTCCACACTCTTCCAAACTCATGTCTTTTGGCTTTTTTTACTTGTGAGTTTGTATCAAGCAAACTGAACATATAGCTTCTGTGATTCGATGTTTTATCTCATAATCATGCAGAAAGAAAGGCGTACCACCTATGATCAGCATGGAAACCAGTGAAACCAACATATTTAATTAATTAACCCTTCCGACCCACGTTCGAGTCTGACTCGAGTTCAAACTTTACAAGTTCCTCCTTAATTGGTGAATATTTCATGTTTATACAGTATTAAGTTTACAAAACATAGCAATTTGAAACACTACCATGAATTTTACACACAAAGTACAAATGCATATCTTCAGATATTTAAGTGCATATTTTGAGTTAATTTATGAAAAATAAATTACATATAGGTCTGTATCTATCCAATTTGACAAAATGTTTATTGTAACTTTCCCTAAAAATGAAGAATCTAATTCTCTTATTTAGACACAGACTTGATTTTTTTTTGTGTTTTACTAATTGCACAAAATCAGATATACAAGGTGTTAAGAAACTAGAGTGATGAAATGAGTGGTTGATGAGTTTAATACAAGCAAGTTTGGTCATAGGATCCTAAATTTTTGTTAGTGGTCATTACCCTGTGATGCAGAGAAGTCTAATATTAAATATTTCTCAAAGCTATATGTGCAATGCTGTTAATTTACACTGTTCTAAATACCATTACGAAACACTCTCTACACTGAATAATCCGAAGGACTGTCTTGTACAGTTTTATGGTGAAAGGGGACTAGCAACTGTTCACAGAAAACAGTTTCGATGTTAATACATTCCCGCAAAGGTTTCTGACATAGTACCTTTATGATATGATAGGTGGAGTGCATGTATACGAGCATTTCATATATAAAGTTGACATGAAGAGTGTATGTGCATAAGTTTGCTTTATTCGAACTCTTTGTCTTAATGTTTGATTTTATGTTTGAATTTATATTTACGAATGATTCTGGAAGATCCAGCTTATTTTTCGAATTTAGTAAACCTGAAGAAGAACCCAGAAAGAGTTACAAAAACGTTTATTCATCACTTAGTGGTACTATGCACTGGTTAGTGGTTGCAGTGAGTCTTAATTATCATTATCCCGGTGTGGTAAGCAGATATCTAAAAATTTTCTAATTAGTCTCAGAAGAGTGGGGACAGTACCCGATAAAACGGGAAAGATTGGCTATAATCTAATAATCTTAATCTTCGCTATCAATACTTTTTTCCTGAGAAATGACGGGCTCATCTGCTAGTGCTATATAAAAAATAAATATTAGCAAATACCTGTTCGGCAATTGTCGATCGTTTATTAGGATCCGGATCTCTGCCATCCAATTTCATCTTTACTCTGCGCCAAACGTTGGTGGCATACATGTTACGCTCTTGTATTACTAAATTTACAAAACATTATTTAAAATAGCATAAAAAAATTTAAAGTCTGATTCAATTAAAATTATGAGGAACATACTTTTTCCAGTTCTAGGATCTCTCATTATAGAATTTTTCTTGTTGTTTCCGGTAGTTACCGATTTCGTCAAGGCGCCTTGACTGATTGGAGATGTGACTGAAAATAATTCTTGACCCTGAGTGATCGAGAGATTATTTTTCTTTAATTCGACACCTTTCAAATCTTTATCTACACTCTGATGAAGGGGATGAATTTTTTTGACTGAAAAGAAAAAAAATAAACTTTAGATAATGGAAATAATACATTAAAAAATTTAGCTAATATCAATTTCAAAAATTACAGTTTTCTTGATTAGACTTGGAAATTCCCATTGGTCCAGCCAAATTTAACAATTCATCATAAACTTCCTGCGTCATAGATGTCAAGGATTCTAATTTAGAAATGATTTTTTGCACATTGCTACTCTCCAGATCTTGTCCTTCTGACAGCAGTTCTCTTACAATTCCAGAAATTTGTTCAGAAAATGTTCTGTATGTTGTTATGTAATGATGAAGTCTACCTTTCTGTTTATCCTCAATATGAATATCTTGCTCCTCATACTATAAAAGTAAGTTTTTATTTTCTTCTAGCGAGTGTACAATATGTATATATATATATATAAAATGCAAAATCAGTAAACATCTTACCTTTGCCAAAGTCCGTAGGATATTTCTGATTTCAGACATGTAGCGATGATGAGTCGAAAGTAACGTACGAATACTGACAACATCGGTTTTCACCACATCCTACAAGTTATTAACAGATTTATGACTTTTTAGAAGCTTGTAACCTTTTTAAATAAAACTTGATAAGACAAAGATGCACTTACCCACAATACAAAACTTTCCATCTTTTTTTCTTCTAATTTTTCTTTGCAACTTGTAAGAATTTGTGCAACTTTTTCTTTTAATGACAAGATCCATTCTTGGGTGACTCCTCCCTTCTCAGGCAAAGGCTGTAATTTTGTTTTATAATGAATGTTACATAATAATAATAAAGAAGAGAAAAAGAATTTTAAACTTACTTTTAATTCTAACAATTGCTCTTCGATCGGAGTTACTTGGCTACTACAATTAGCTTCTAGCATGCAACTCTCTTGACATCTTAAAAAAAAAAAAAAAACAGACAAAAATTAAATATATTTTGAACAAAATTTTAAAGAGCAGTTAAATACATACCTATTGATTAAAGATAGAAATGTGGAATCTGAAGAAAGGGCCTCGTTTGTCCGTGTTCTCAGTGCTTCAAAATGAAGAATGGCATTACACACATTTCCTAATTCTCGAGATAACTGAACGAAAGCCTAAAGTAAAGCAAATTTATTATTATTTTAGGTATTTGAATTATCTTTGTAGATTATTAAATTTAAGAACTATGAATTCCAAATTAATTAATTTCTTAACACAAGAAAGTTATTATATATGCTTTTTATATAATGAAACTGTGTGTAGTTTTATAAATTTTGACTGCTGACAGTAATATCATCTTACTTGTTTCCTAATTTTAAAATTTTAAAATAAAATCTGTTTGATAATTATTTGAAATTATTTACATGAAAAATAAAACATTTTCAATTTAAAAATGCCCAATGTATTTCCATAAAGTCACAATTAAGGATTTAATTCTAGATTTATAAAATGTTTCCCATTAATTTCAAATGGTAGATAATACAGTGGTGCCTCGTATAACGTATGCTTTGAATAACGGACACTGCGAACAACGGACTTTCTGTTTGGCCATTACGTCACTCGAGCAACGGACTGGCTGTGAACAACAGACTTTCCATTCGGCAGTTACGTGAGGTGAACAACAGACTTTCTGCGAACTAGTGCGAATGATGTTTCCATTCTTTTGCTGTTGCCAATGACAACCTGCTATTTTTAGAATATATTATTAGTATATTTGAAGTACAGAGCTCCCATTGGGATTCGGCTTGCTCCCTTGTTTATTATGTACATCACCTCAGTGCAGGGTATTTACATTTATTCAAGTGTTGTGCAAATCATGGCTTCTAAAAAACAGAAAGGTGATTTTAATTGAAACAAAGCAAGAAATCATCAGAAGGAGTGAAAGTTGACAAGGATTTCCTTGTCAAATGGGGAGAGGTTCAGGAGTTTACCAACACTCACTATCCAAACAGCTGAGGCCAACAGGATCAATGATCTCTATCTTGCCCGTCATTTCCTACAGGTGTTGAAGAAGAGAGAGAAACAGACCACCTTGGACATGTTTTTCAAGAAGCCAGCTGCCAAATAACAAAGGATGGAACAAGAGGAGTTGACCCTGCAAGCCCCGGTAGCCTTTCCTGAATCTGACTAATTAAAAAACAATAAAAAGAGACCTGCTGCAATGTGTGAAAAGTGTGTGTCTCTGTATGAATATGTGAAGAAAGGAGGTGGAGAAACACTTTTGTTCCTCCACCACCTCCTCACAACATCTGACTACCCAGCATAATTGGGGATGGCTCCATTTTCATTTTTTTTAACAGTAAAGTAAGTTATTTTATGCTGTGGAACGAATTAGATGTTTTAACATGTATTTCTATGGAAAATGCGTTTCGTATAACAGACTTTTCACTTAACGGACTTGCACCTGAAACAGATTAAGTATGTTATACGAGGTACCACTGTATCTTATTTGGCCATCTCACACATTTAAAAAAATGTATCAACACACAACATTTCTAGAAAATACCAAAAATCAATACTACACCTTAAACTTCATAATGTATTCATTAAAACAAACTGAATAATACACATAAGACAAAGAACTTTTAAAGGTAACACCCTAAACTTTTATATGTTACAAGAGAACTATAATTATAGACAAAGCCACACATAGAACACATTACAGGCATATCCATTCCAAATATCCTCAAACACACAAAATACCAGGTCAGTAAAAATCAATGAGTATTCAGAACTCACTTGAGAAGTAAAGTGAATACAGAAAATGGATAAGGTGTCTATTGCATCTTTAGAGAGTTATAAGTTGGATACAATTCCCTCTGCTCTGTAAATGTTGTACTGTTGTATACATTATAACATATAATTTCATAAACCCAAAGTCTAGAATACGTTACACAACAATACACAATTATAATGAATTTGTTACATCATCAGGAACTTTTACAAGTATTACATTTATTTCATCATTGTAGCAGCTGTGGTGGTAATAATTATATGTTGCAGATTAATTTTCATTATTAACTACTTGTGCAACAATGCACATTAACAAATAAATATAAATATATTTACTTACACTTGCTGAAGTTGTCTTCTCCGAAATGGCACCTTCAAAGTCTTCCTGGATTGTTATAAGTGAAGGATTGGCACCTGCGGCCCACTTCAATCTCTGTTCAACGCTAGCCGTGAGACTGAGATAACGTTCTTGACCAACCGTAATTGCCGCTTCCAGAGAAACTAATGCTTGCACGGTCTATTTGTAAAAATAGTTAATTTTTATTATATGAAGCTAATAAATTATTTCATAAACCCAAAATTAGTTCCAGTAGTTTTTGGAACAATATAATTAAATTTACACAAATTAATGAGACTTAATGTTAAATATTATAATGTTTTGTTTACTAAGGGTTAATAAGACAATAATTTTTCTGTCTACATCATTTAGTAGACTAAAACTGTAATGTCCATTTCAATACTTGGCCATTGACCCTCTTTCACAGTATCATTTTCAATTAAAATTCAATGTGTCTACTTTTTTTAGTAAAACCTCTTTGCATAATAATACAAAGAGGTTTTAGTATGCCAACTGTGGCCAATTTATGAGAGTTTGTGAAATAAATAAATAGATTACAAGACAAGCATTGATCATTATGCATTCACTGTAAAAAGGAATCAATATTTATACTCAAATTTTAATAAGCAGTTTTGTATGAGTTTTACAAAAGATCTTCTCTTATACTGCAATTTTTATTTTTAGAGTTTGGAATCAGACCATCAAATGTTAAACATTAAATATGTTGGCCAGATTGATGGACAACAAATTACCTTGCGCATTTCCGACATCACTGATGCCCGGGTGGGAACTGCCAGATTTTGTAAAGGTCCTATATTGCCCTGAACTAACAGATCTTCATGTAGCCACTGATGACGAGCAAGTTGAAGCTGAGCTCTTTGCAAACTTGCTTTTAAGAAGAGAACATTTTGATCCAACCGTCTGTAAATAACCAAACAAAAATATAATTAGATATTCTGAAAATATTAAATAAATAATCAAACTGATTATGTTGGAAATGAATCAGTTACACTGAAATTGTAATTGATATTGTATTATTATCAAAATACATATTGAAATTGCATTGAAATTTCAAATTATTATTGAAATTGTATTTTTGATATGTCTCTCTCAAAACATATCAATAATACAATTTTAATATTGGTATCAATGCAATTGATTCATTCAAATATTTAACAATGTCTGTCAAATTAGTCAGTGTAAAAATTGGTTTTCATAACAGAACCGATTCAATTTCTGACTGTTTAATGTTTCTATAAAGAAGTTTATATTAATTCACCAGAAAGGACTTATTAGACATGACATAAGTAGTTTCTTACATTCAGATCTTCTTTTATATTTATATTAAAGAATTATGTTTCAATATGTGTATATCTTTTGGAGTATTTGATTAAATGAGAGTTGCATTAAATGCAATAGACTTATTACAGTCAGATTTAAAATATTCATTACTAACTTACAAATTTAAAATTGTGTATTATAGAACAAAACTAATTAAATTATACAGTCTATTTATGCATATATTAACTACATTGTTCAAAATAATTACAGAATGTCATAATGTTGTATTTATTGTGTAATGCATCAGTGGTATTGTTGATCTGACTTTGATGTTTTGATAGCAGACCTATCAACTGAATTCCCAAATATGTTTTTTCACTCCTGGATGTACTTTTTTTGTATTAAGTGTTTCAGTTCTGTGGGAAAACATTTAAGAGGGTCATTTTTTTTAGCAAGTCTCACCATCTGACAACCAGATAATGAGGGACAGGGCCTGAAATCCAGACAGACTGACCCCGCAGAAAAATTCCTTGGATTTTTTGACCTGTCTGGATTTGATCCCGGGACCCCAGAACAGTAAGCTTCCACCTAGGACCTCAGAAGAGTAAGCTTCCATCTTAACCACTCATCCATCTGGCCACATCCCAGACATACTATGTCAATTGCAGAATATCACACGTCCTGTTAATCTATCATAAAACTACATCACATAAAGTTCAATAAATTCTTTATATCAAGTTTAATAAACATTTTCTAACAACAAAATTAATTTAATTATAGTATTAAGTTTATAGTGCAATATATTTGAACTCTTCATCCCTAATTTTGATAAATTATAGAAAGTTCCATTTTAAAAGTAGTCTACTTGTACATTACTACTTTCAAACAGTGTTCCTAATTTTTAATATTTCTTAGTATTTTACTTTCAGCAATAGAAGGAAATAAAAATACCTGGAAAGATCCTCTTTTCTCCAACTGCTATCAAAGTTATTAATCAGAGTACTGGCTTGAGTTAATTGTCCGGCTTGAAATTTCTCCTGTTTTATACACAAGTCAACTGCCTTTTTGCTCAATTCTTCCAGAGAAACTTTACCCTCTGCGCCGATATCTCTCAGTTCTATTTCTGCGGTGACGTCTATGCCAAGAGTGGATATGAATACACACAGAGCATAAGCCACGGTCTGAGAAGGAAGTCCAAGCACCTTAAAAAACAATTTTTAAAATTTTTGTTATCAGAGAGAGAGAGAATTTCTAAATATACAAGTAATTTATTTCAATATACACACTAGAGGTTAAGATTTTCATAAAGAAACCTTTATTTTTATTCATTTATTAATTTTTACATTATTAATTCAAAGAAGTGTGGACATTAAGTTTCTTGTCAAAATTAAGCTAGTTATATTGCAAATTATTGTTGTTCTTTCCAAGAAATTTCTAAATTAAGTACCTTAACAGAAAATAGAAAATATTTAAAATGCTAATTGAAAAACTGATTACACAGATCCACAAAATGAGTAAATTTATATTATTAGTATTTTCCTGTCTTAATTGTATATCACTACCTACATTAACTATTGAATATTAAATAAATTTATACACACATGCATCAATAAAACAATGTCATTCATAAAATTTTAACATACTTGCTTCCTGACATATTCGGCAATGAATAATTTAACAGGTTTAAACAGCTGTTCATCAGTCAGAAGATGCGATGTCTCTCTCTCAGAATTCCGACTTTGGGATGGAATTTGAAGACTGCGAGAAAATTCCTGGCACAGAGAAAAGAATTGTTGCATCGCCTGAAGTCTTTTCAGAAAGAAAATATCATAAAGTATAGAACGTGTTGAAGCCAAATGTATAGGGGGCTAGAAATAAATAAATAAACCATGAAATTTATTAATATATATAATTAATTTATTAAAATAAAATTCAAAATAAAATTTGATTTAATAACTTTATGTTAAGATATAGTTGTTTATTTATTCTACTATGTAGTATGGGTGCTGTATAATACTGATGTATATAAAATCAACCGAATCAAATTTAAGTGATTTTATATACATCATTGTTTATTTATATGATAAATATAAACAAATTTAAATTTGTAAAAAAAAAATTTTATAGATGGTTTTATTTTGCACAGAAGTGATTGACTCAAGGTGTTTTTGCCATTGCAATTGGAGTATAATAAAAATAAATAAACATCTCATGCCATCTCTGGGTTGTCACAGAGAATGTCACATTGGGAGTGTTCTGTTTGAAGAATGGTCCAAAGATTAATGTGCCTTTTTTTTTTAATTCTTTCCACCCTGTGAGCACTAAGAGGGCCTCTTTATGCAAGCCCATTATGGGTTTGGCCAGGCCCACAATGGGGCTGCCAGGTGGTGAGGGACAAAGCCCAACATATCCGAACGGATCACCCTCAAAAAATTCCTGGGGGTTTTTCAACCCGTTTGGATCCGAGCCCAGGTCCCCCAGAGGGGTAGGCTGCTGCCTTGACCGCTCGGCCATCCAGCTACCAAGATTAATGTGCCTGTAAATCCACAATGGACTTGACTTTAAGCAAGTACAGCGCAATGAAATTTGCTGTAAGACATGGATTTTCTGCAGCCAGAATGCATCCATTTCCATTCTGGCAAAGAGGTCAATACAAGTCAATTGGATTTCCCTGTTTAGATTTGAAAATTAAAATTAACACAAAAACAGGCAGGAATTGATCTCAAAGTGATAAAGTTTACAAATGCAATCTGTTAAATATTTACGCTCTGCTTTTACAAACATCCAAGTAATTTGATCTCTTTTTGGTGGACACAAGATGTAATACAAGTATATTCACGAGTCTTGGTTAATGTTTACTGTAGTATTTCATATAATAATAAAACATTAATTCTACCAAATTCAAAAAAGTTTAAAAGTCAATTTAAGACTGCAAGATTTTTTAGTTTTAGACTGTCAAAGGAAATCATCCATAAGTAAACCTGATAGAAACATTCATACATCAGAGAAACTGCTTCCAAAAAATTGAAGATTCATCATTTGCAAGTTATTTGGCCAATGAGAAACAAGAAAATATTATTGTGTGTCAATAAAACACCATAAGTCTGAGCAATTATGTAACGTAAGAATTACTTAATTTGTATTTATCTTTTTAATAAAAAAAAATTATTGTTGCATAAAGCTTAGTAAATAATTATTTGCCAAATATTTTAACAAATAACTTATATCATAATCAGAATTAATGATAAATTAATTGATTTAGACAAAATAGTGATTATTATATTTTGAAATTTTGGCAACAATCTAACATCAAAACAATTTGTCTCAAACAATGTACAGTTGTTATTATAAAGTTATATTTAAAGCATGAAAAATAATTTTATACTCACAACAAAAGAAGCTGCTTCACGAACTAAATCAACTTTACGCCACAATATTGGTGGATTCAAGTGATTTAAAGATGTCAATAGATCGGTCATGTCAGATTCCAATTTAGTGAAAAGGCCATTAAAACCCATTAACAACATCTGACCAGGAGTTAAGTCTAAAATTAAAAAACATTATTGAAATTGATAATTATATACAATGTTCTGGTTAAATTGTCCCATAATTTCCTATTAACCACATTAAATTTAATTTATATAATAATGAATTATCAGATAATTACATCAAACCAAGATAAATGTCAATAATTCATTTAGGGGCAGTCACCACACTATGAACAACTTCTGTTCCTAAGACTGTCAAATTTGTAGGTTGCAAATTTGCAAGTTGGTATATACTTTCAGTCAAATATCTGTTTTAGTAACTACAGTGGAACCTCGGTATACGACCTTAATCCGTTGGACTTATACCAAATAGGACGTATACCAAACCAACCCTTCCCATAAGAAGTAATGTAAAAATGATTAATCCGTTCTCATGTAAAAAAAGAAAAAATGGCTGGCTTTAAACACCTCACTTTCCTGACTAGTCCCTGCTTGATTTTTCATGAGACCAGCATGTATCTTTTTAGCTTTCTCGCAAATAATTGCTTCTGATATGATGTCGCCAGCACACTGTTTTTCAGTTATCCAAAGCAAAAGCAATTTCTCAACATGATCTAATGTCTTCAATCTCTATTTAGAAATTGATTTAACTCCTTTCGCAACGTTAGCAGATTTAATAATGTCTTTATTTTTCACGACTGTCGATATCTTCGTTCTCAGAATATGATATGCAACAGTTAAATCTCGAACACGCATGCCACCTTCATATTTCTCAATAATCTTTTTTTTCAGTTTCATTGTGATTCTAGTCATTTTTTTAGTTTTCTGTTGCTTTTCATTTGCCTTTTTGCAATTCATGATTAATAAAAACAATAAAATTTTACTTACAAATTAAAATCAGAAGAAATTTAACAAAGTTATAAACTGTGGCACCACAAACATCTAGTCTGGTCTAGTACACCAATAGTGCTACTTGTTCATAGATGGCGCGTATAATTGAATTAAGTCGTATATCGAGCAAAATTTGTTTCGTCCAAACAGGACGTATTCCAAAGCAGACGTATACTGAGGTACCAGTGTAGTGTATACTAAGACTAACATTTTAACTTTTTATGCATACTAAACATTTACAAACCACTTCCAAATAAACTTACACAAAGCAATGTTAACAGCGTGGCAATCTAAGACTAACTGAACTGAACTAGCATCAACAATCCATGGTAGTTACAGAATGTTTACAAGTATCTCAAGAGTAGTGCACATGTTCATTATTGCAAACCATTGTATTTATTACAAATTTTTAAAATTATAGACTTTATAGTAGCTAGTCCTAAAGTCATTCATAACTCGAGGACTGCCTGCATTTGCAATTCATTTTGTATTTATGAAATCAAAGCAATAGATTACTTAGAGCAAATAAGTTCTCAATCTTTTACTACATTTAAATAATAATTTATAAATCAAAATAATAAGTAATAATTCATACCAGATATTTCTGGTTCTTATTATATTCTGTGATGCCAGATATAAACCAAGTTAATTTGCTTTTAATATCTGTTCAATAAATTATAGTTAGATAAAAATTTATTAAGAAAATAACAAATCTCAAGCATCTATTGTTTTACAATTTTATGATTTGATAATTATAAGTAAAACCGTAAAATACAGTGTCTTCCAAAACAAATGCTACCTTTTAAATTACTGTTGTTAAGTATTATCTGAGAAGTATGCAACATACACCAATTACTAGAGCAGCCATCTGAGTTTCATCACCTGTCTTCATTTGAATGTCTCATCCTCTAGTACCTCCAGGAAGTGTTGTAAATAAAAACAGTGACTCTGCAACAGAGAAAGAATTTTGTGTTCTGCAGTTTGCAAAAATCAAAATCACTCATCACTGTAATCAGCAGGAGTTGTAAAATTGTAGTTGCCATGGGAAGAGTGAATAGGGATATATATGCTGTAGCAAGCATTGGAAGATGTGCTGTATAACGCAAGATGAAGTTTTGAGAAAATGTAACAGGCAAAAGCAAAACTTGAATGGTTTTCCAATGTTTTAATGTATGTTACAATGTTCTCAGATAATAATTAACATAATTTAAAATGGTAACATTCTTTTTGGAGGACCCTGTATGAGTGAATTTAAAGATATATATACATTTGTCATAAAATGTTTTCTACTGTACTTGATTGACTCATGTTCTCATTTTAATTGTTAGGAGTAAGTATAAGATTGCTCAAGAGAATGTACCACACAAGAATACACAATACAGATATACAGGCTTTATTAATTCTAGAGGATTAATAAAGACTGTATATCTATCTTCATTGTGTATTCTTGTGATATATTCTCTCAAGCAATTTTATGCTTACTCCTAACAATATTTTCTACATTTGTGTCATATGATTAAAAAGAAGCCTGTAAGATGGATACAAACAGACTTTGTCAAAATGTCAAAGATTTTCAAGTCAATAAATAATTTTTGTAGTCTTTGTTTTACTATATTGAAGTTATAAAACTTCAATATAGATAACAATAAGCAAATCACTTAATATGTATCTAAAAATATATTTTAGGAAAAATTTTATAAATTGCTTTCGTATAGTTTTGTTTACCCGAAAATATTCATTCTAGTTAAGTTTTTATTTTATTTAGAACAATTGGAATAAATTTATTAATTTTACAAGAACAAGACTGATTAAAATGAATAATATAATATAAACATATGTAGATTTATATTATGATAATATGTAGAGATATAAACTATACTAATATCAGAACTGGTTCATTTTACAAACTGATGCTCCAATGTATTGTTTTACTGATATTGTTTTGCCTCAAAGCAATGGACATATTGTGCTGCAAACAAATCTGTGATAGACAGTATGTCTTCTTTGCACGAGTTGTCACCTATGAGAATGTGACATACAGTTGTTGCATTTGGCAAGTGCCAATTTGATAAGAAGTTATTGATATCATATTTTATCAGCAGTATTTATTATTGTATCATCTCTAGTCAAATAAAAATGTCAAAGAAATTGCATTTTTTTGGTCATCACTGATTAGTTAATGCAAAGTATCAACACATTGGATACAACACGACACAACAGGTATATAATTGGCCATAGTTATGCTCATTAAGGGTAGATCTGATGCAAATGGGCTCATCCAGCATGGATGATTGTGATTTACACTACAATGATAAATTATGGGAATCTATACAAGGTTTTAATTATAAATCTAAGAATTTGAGAAAAATGTCTCAAATTGATACTTCTTAGCTCCCTATTAAGACACATGAAACTATTTAGTGATAAAAATTTATTATTAAAGCTAAATTGTCTGTGTTTTATTTTGGAATAAGTATTCTAAGAAGTAAATATAAATTATTTTCATTATTTGATAATAAATAACACATCCTACCTGAATTTCCATTATAATGTTTCTCATATCAGCTTCCAGTTCAGAAACGAGAACATCGAGAGATGTTCCTGCTTCGTTAATGATTTTATTTAACTTCTCAATCATGTTGAGAACACTGGGATCTTCTGACTGCACAGTTTTTACAGCCTCAGGTAAGATGATATTTTGAAAATTGAGACTTAGATCCTGAAGTAAATGACAAAATGTTAAAATACTAATTTTGCTGAATACAACTTACTATTTGTTTGATATTTCTAACTTTTTTATGTTATGATTATATTTAGAAAAGGTACTTAGTCAAAAAAATTTGTATTAAATTTATGAAGTTTTAAATATTATTTCATTCTCATTAGTGTCATTTAAGATTTTTCAATAGTATTTTTGAACAATCAGCAAGACAATTGTTTATTTTTGTTATAACGAAAACAGAAACAATGTTCGTATCTGATTGTAAAGATCAGTTTTTGTTCTAATTGAGGGAATTTTAAATACATAATCCAAAAATTCTGAATTATATTCATATAAAACTGAAAAATGAATTATTACTTAAAGAGCAAAAGAGAAATACACACACTTTCAATACTTGCAGTTAGGTATGCTTTTGAGACTTTATTTTAGTCATAAAATTCTTAATTAATTGTAAATAATTTTATTTTTTAATTTGAAAAGAGAAAATTGAGAACATTATAACATTTAAAGGAAATTAAGGAAGATGATCCCAAAAGTGATTTTTAATACTTCAGGTAAGTTTTAAATATATAGGTAAAGATAATATCTATTCAGATCTGATTAACTTACTGTAAAATACTGTATATAAATGATAAATTATGATTCATTGAATATAATTCTGCTCTAGTTCTAATCATTTAAATTTTAACAGTCCCATATTTAAAGATGCAAATGACTGCGAACTGCTAACAACGAGATCTCAACTTTTCTCATTGACCAAAAGAGAATGGACATCTGTCACTAGTAATGCACAAAGTGTTGCACATTAAATCTACCTAGTGTCATTTTCTCCTTTCCATTCTCACAAAGTATGAATCTGCCTAAACAGAAAAGTATGACTTTCTCTTTAGCCCATTAAATGCTTATATTGAAACATCTAAAACTTTTGGTTAAATAATTCAAATTTTTAAAATAATTATTTGCAGTTTAGAATAAAGCAAATTTCATATGGTAAAACCTGTAATATTGGAATCCTTCTTTACATTGTACTGGATTGTCAGTCCCATTAAACACCTTATAAAATATAGCACATTTTTCTACTCCAGAAGTCAAATAAAATTTCACTTATCTCAATGTTGTCTCTCGTTAAGTCAAACTTGGCAAGTTCTAACTAACCTGTTAAGTTCTATGAACCTTTTTGACACAGTGCCTGGTAAGGTGGTTTTAATACAGCTGGCTAAGCAAGTCAATGACAGTCTGTTTCAGATGAAATAGGCTACAGGCTTGCTTCTCTAGTCATACCAAGCAATACACCTTTTGTTAATGAGAAAGTTGCCAGTTTAGTGGAAAACCTACTACATCTAGTGGAAGTATTGACAATTTAATGCACCATATTATGCAAAACTTGATTTTTAAATATAGAATAGAAAGGTAAGTTTCGTGATATTTCTAAATTCATACCATTTAAATCATTATTACAGCTTCATATATTATTCTAATAAGTTCAAATAAACATCATAGACTTAAATACATTGTAAAATTACATCGTTTATTCTATTCCCAGCAAATTACATCCTTATTCTATACTCTGCATCTGAATAAACATTTTGCAACTTTTTGTATACTTCCATATACATTTTCTCCAAAACTCAATTTGCCATTTTTTGGTCCCTTTAATACTTTTATTACAAATAAAAAATATTTTTAAAAATGCCATTTCACAATAATCTAAAATATAATAATCAAAACAAAGCAGAAGCATTAACAATTAAAAACATTAATCTTTTTTTCCTACACTCTGTATTATCAAATAAATTAACGTTTTTTTAATTGTTAATATATATATTATCAAACACATACAGTAAAATCTCCATTAACAGAAACTTCTACTTAGTGAATATTTTTACAATCCCTCAGACCCATAGGACATCTATTATATTTACCTCTAAATAGTGGAGACTCTAAATAATGGATGTCATCATTCATAACCTACCTTACAAAAACACAGTCCTGCCTTCAATATTCAGAAAGAATTAATTATGTACAAAATATTTTAAAACTAAAACAAAGAATTGGTTCAAATACTCTTTCAAGAGACAAATTTTGATTGTAGGCATCAAATAAAGACTGGCTTAAAATAGAAATAGGGAAGGAGGGCAAGGTTGTAAAAAACCAAACAATATTTTTTATCTGTTAGAAACACTAATCTGGTTAAGTTATCAATCACTATTTATCTTCATACATATTAATTTAATTAATTAACATTATTAAACATCTGTCTTATTGTTGGAATTAAACTTACTCTACCGAGAAACCATAAACTTTTCCGGAGTTATTCATTCATTTGACAAGAACCATAGTACAGTAGTAATGAAAACTAAATCATTTTAAGGTTAAGCCAACAGTGTTTATTTGGTGAAAGTTCAAAGATTGTGTTGTGAAGGCAATTTGCCGATCACTTTAAAGTGTAGAAAGATATTCGGTTTTCTCACATTTATGATGTAATTTATGATCTTAATAGCTTTGTGGTGGCTGAAGTCATTTTTAATGAATCATTTATTGAGAAAAGCAAAAACATTACAAAAATTACACCTATTCGATAACTATAAAGTAGACAAATCATTATATCAATTTTTATTAATCATTTAGATCATAAATAATGTTATAAATGCAAGAATATCAAATACATTTCTTAATCCTTGAAGTGGTTAGCAAACTGCCTTTGTAACTTGACATTCGAACTCTTATCACCTAAACACACCTTCATCTACCCTTCCATTTATAATAACAGTTCATTTTTCTTTTTTGTTACTTTCACTCTGGTTGTTTTTGATGAATTAATAATTAATCAATGTTTATGTTTTGTCATCATTTTTATGACAAAATATAAATGTTTTACATCTGAAAAGATAAATAATATACTGTATACATATTTTAATTATATATGCTATATATACTTTTCAGTATTTTCACATTCCTAATTCAAATTTGATGTTTTTAAATCATATTCTTCACCTTATAATGACCAGGTTAAAATACAATATGGCCACAGCATGTACTGTACCTTCAAATAACAGACAACCTTCTCAGTCCTGACTATGTCCTCTATTTGGAGGTTATACTATACATGTATGTACATTTATATGTGTACATGTGCATGCATACATATCAATGAGTGAGTGAGTGACTGACTGTCTGAGTGTGAGAAATTTCAGTTGCATTATTTACCATAACATATTTGAAAAGTTCTATTTTGATGAAATATGTTTCAATAAGACACAGAACAGTCAATTTTTGTATGTATTATTTTTGTCAATTAGAATGAATGCTCATAAATTAGTATATATCAAAAGAGAAAATTATAAAAATCAACAATTTTAAATGGAAAAACTATATGTCGATGAAACAAATAATAAATTATATAAATTTCATCTCATATTTTGAACAGCAAAAAAAATTTTTCATTAAGAAATAGTTAAGATATTAAGAAACTACAATGCAATATTCATATTTTTATAACAACTAACAACATTTCAGCAAAATACTTCAATTACTAAACTTTTAAACTGTATAACTAATTATATAACTGTATAATTATAACTAAACTCTATTATAATTAAATAAATAAACCTACTTCTAATCCGGTGAACACACAATGTGCCGAAGTAACAGCATGAATAGCAGTTTTCATATCTTCATCTGCATCCTGAAATATAGTTTTTTTTTTTAAATACAATTTTAAAGTCTATCTAGAAATATTTATATTTAAATATAATGCAATTAATTTTATTCTTGTTATAAGTTTTGTAATCATTAAAACAAATATCAAATACAGATTCTTCTCCACTAGATATTACACAATATGGTCACTAAAATTATCCTGTAACATATGTATTAACCATTCATACATTTCATGAGACTATCATCCTTAAGCCAAAGTACACATACAACCAGAACACACAAAAATTAAATATTTTGGGTAATTCAAATCAAATTGCACGATGAGACATTACACTCAAATTGTAATCACACTAAAAACTTTATCGTTGCCTTCTAGACACAGTTGCCACTTTGCCCTGTATTGTACAAGATATATATTTTAAATGCAATATGCAATTATTATATAATATTATATTATATAAATAATAATTATTGCCATATTTATTATTAAAAAATAAACATGAAGTTATTAAATGCTTTCACTCATTACTGTTTTCCGTCATATATATATATTCTGTATACTTTAAGCCTTCAATGGTTTGAGATTGAATTGATTGGGAATGAGAAACTGTAGAAACTACTGTACATCATTCATAACAGATGTACATAAAATGATGTAGTGTGTGAAAATTCAAATTATGTCTTATAAACCTTTATTTTATTAAATAAATATATTTATTGTTACATTACCTTTATTGAATCTTGTAAAATAGTTATGAGTTGTATCATACTATTACTCATACTATACATTTCGTCCAAATACCAGTCTCCACCCCAAGATGTTAAATCGACTAAACAATCTCCGGCAGCTATCACATATGCATAATATAAATGATTACAATGATCTATTTTTCTTGTAAATATTAAAATGTTTAAATACGACTAGTTTCAAAAAATTATAGTAATCTTATTGCAATTCTTATAAGATGCATCAAAAAATGTTAACACTAATACAGAAGTAACTTGTTATTTCAGATTTGTAGTGACAGCTTGTCCTCTCATCAATGGTATTTTCCATTCTGAGAGAGATGTTGCAACCCAATTGCAGAATTTGAAAAAAGTACAATCCTGCTATAGTATTCCTGCTCACCTACTCCAACTTCACTGGGCTTTCAATTTATCTGTAGCTCAGCTGTTTCCTTTGTGCTTAGATGATCTGCACAACAGCAGCATAATCGACATACTTCAACCTTTGCTGGGCATTCGGCTTATTGATGGCTCAACCTTGTTTCTTTTCAATGAATTTACACAACTATCTTCAAACTATTTATAGACGTGTGTAGTAACTTTCAAACCACTAACTTTTATAAGAACTGTTCTCAACACTGATTTTACTTGGGTCCAAGTGATATTCATTAACACACAAAGTTCTGCTTAGAACTAAAGGACTTTAAAGTACATATCTGCAATGTACTCCAAGAGCTCTTCTGCACAGCTATGAACTGCTAAGCATATTTTCTTTTGTTTATCTGAACATTATAATTCGTTTTGATAATTTTATTTATCCTAATATAAGTCATATGAGTATTAAAAATATAACTTATTTACTCATATCGTTTATTACTATTTATTATTATTGTATATATATACAAATACTGGTTACTATATATATTTAAGAATATGTATAACTTCCTGGTAATGCTCTAGCGGGGCCAGGACATGTACCATGTACTTAAATAAAAAATGAATGAATGAATATAGTATTCCTGCAGTAATAACTGCATACCTTCTCCATTTGTGTTAACATTTTTTGAAACACATTGCATATTAAAACAATAAAAAAATTAACATTGTGAATAAGGTAAATTCAAGTTCTTTTAGGATTTAAACAATTACATACATTAATATATCATTTAAAATGATTCTTAAATTATCAATATTACCTGCTGCAGCATTATCCATTATTAACAGACGACGATTTAATGCACATAATGCAGTAACTATGACACATTCTAGACTTATTAAACCTTTTTTTCCATTTTCTAAATAAAAATTATTATATAATGAATAAAGGGATGCTTTTACATCTTTATATTTATCATAATACAGTGAAATATTGAAGATCCAGACTTTGTATTCAAAAAGTGGATATTTACCCGTTTCAATGATAAATTTGTTGTTGATGTTACTTCAGCCTCTTGCTGTTCTAACATTAATTCATAACTTGTAATTTTTTAACCTGTGATCACATGCAGTTTTTTTAATGAGATTTCAAGCACAAAGTGATGATTTTTCCTGCATAATTATGCTGCATAATTATTTCTTCAACTTGAAGAAATAATTATGCATAATTATTTCTTCAACTTGATGATTCTGAAAAATTCTATAGTGTTTCCTCTGTATATGCCAAATTTCAACATCATAGATTGTTTAGTTTACAGAACAATGTCCTTAACATGAAATGAATTCAGTTGAAAATAAATGATGGGAGGGCTGAGGTGTTTCCCAGAAAGACCAAAAATTATTCTTTTGTATTTTTCAGGCATAAAATAAACCCATGTTAATATTTAAATTGTAGAAGCTTACAGCACCTCAGGCTATCTTATAGGGATGAGAGATTTCAAGCTTATAGCAACTTGAAGACTGCAAGTCACTTCATCATGCATATACAATATATAAACATCCATGACAACACCAAGACCACCTCTTGCAGCAATCATAAAAGATGTCCACAACCTCATTTTCAGTGACCTGATGACTTAAGAGCAGAAAATCACTGCCTTATATGAGGAAACACAGTTAAGTAAGTCAATTTGGTGAAAAAAAAAATGCCTGCAGAAAAATGCCACTATCTTGTATAATCATGGGTCAATTTTGAAATTATAATTAGTGTGTTTTTGTTTGAATACAGTGATCTTATAAATTATATTTTGAATCTTTCAAATTATTACTACATACCTTGTGAAATACTGGCTTGAACTGATAACATCAAAAGGTGATTTATAGTATTTAAAATGCTAATTTACACATGTATTTGAAAATCCAGACAGGACTGTCCCCAATTAGTCCCAAATTTCAATACTTCACTGTATTAAAATCTCAATTTTGTTAATTTAACTGTTATTTACTAAACAGTATACATACCTTCAACATATCTCTGAATATTTGCCTTAACCTCTCTTAAATAAGCCGAAAGCGTATTAGTATCTTCTATTCCTTCAATATGTCGTCTTTCTATAACCTAAACAATTTCATGTGAAAAGATGTTACAGAAAAATTATAATAAAATAAATTACTACAAAGTTAAACATGTTAGCTTACATTCAGAAGTTTTGAATTAACATCTGTAACTAATGTTTGAAGCTGATAATGCAATCCAATAGCAGCTTGAATTGATGCAATATTCATACTTTCGATTCCATATTTATTATGAAATTCTGTTATGACATCTTGACATCTTAAAGTTTAATAAATATTATCAAAATATAAAGCAAATAAATAATTTATAATAAATATAAATCTTAATACATAAATAAGTTATATAATTATTTATAAATAAAAATATTAAAGAAATAAATACTTAAACTCATTCAACTATTTGATAACAGTTTTTGGCCATTTAAATAAATTAATATGACTAAAAATTATTCTCTTTACATAAATATTTTTTTTATATTGTAAAATTAACATCAAGTAATATTATAGACCAGTGGTTCTCAACCTTTCCGAGGCCACGGAACACCACTCATATACTTTTTATTATGCAGAATATTAGCATTGGAAATTGATAGTCAATTTCCTTGTTTACTGTTCTTGTGAAACAACAAAGCAGTAAACACATAAACTTTACAACACTGAATAAAACTGTAAACATGAGACTGTCTACAAAAAAATATGCTGCATAAATTTGATTGATATAAATTTGCAATAAAAACTTTAAAAAACTTTTTGTGGAATGTTGGGAACAAGTTTGTAGAACCCGTGTTCCATGGAATACAGATTGAGAACCATTGTTATAGATAGAAAAAGTATCTGGCATCTTAGATTTTGTGTCAGATTTTATAGATCTTATATTGTTATTGTTTAATAAACCCTTAAATACTTACTTTGCTAATGTGAAATCTTCTAGAAGACTTTCTAACCAACTCTGCCATTGAAAACTACGATTTTGTTCTTTAAATGAAGGAGGATACTAAAATAATTTATAAAAGGTAATTTTTAAATAAAAGTGTTTCAAAAATAAATAATAATAAGATACAAAGATTAAAACCTATTTCACATTTCTCAGCTTAAGTTATTTTTAACTTTTGATTTTCTTTTCTACTTTTGATAAAAACTATCATAGATATTGATTTTTCAACTAATATGCACACTTATTATTCCAGATGAAATCAATTTTTACTTCTAAACTTAAAATAACTATAATATTTAATTACTCAAAAGATATAAACAATAATATCTTCTTTTCCCTTCATTTAGCTACATGACTAGTGAACAGCAACACTCTTCTCAATTAAAAGAATATAAACAATTTTTATAATAAATTTCTATATTTTATGTAATCTTTTCATTTAGTGATCACTAAGAAAACGTTTTGTCATGTTCATCATGTATTTAGCAGAGTCCATAATAGGGTGATCAATTAATGGAAATGGGATCAAATTATCCAAATCAAACCATTTACAACAGCTTCAAAATCTAACTCAGATGCAAAAGCATCAAATTTTTCCTGAAATTTTACTGTTTTAACCACCTAGATGCCAATTACATTTATATTAATTAGTTTTCTAGATTTAATAGTAATTATTAGTAGTCATTCTAATTATTATTTCTTAAGACTTGCCAAGTTCGTAATGCTGTGCTACAGAAAATGGCATGTGGTAACATAGTCTGTTTCTGATTCATGAAAATTTTTAGTTAACACATCCACATTTGGTAACAGGATTGAAGGATAATTATTATAATATGTGAGATTATCTATCCTCACATTTAAGTGATTTCCCAAAAGAAAATTATAACATGATTTTAGCTTCATTAACTAAAAAAGAAATAACATTTTAATTTTACATTTATCAGATAAATTACTTTCCTTTGAATCCATTAATATATTAGTTTGATAGAGGAAAAAGATGACAAATGTATCAGAACAAATTCATTGTTAATTTCATATTAATTTAACAAAACTCAATCTCATTCTTACCAAATTAAGTCTCTCTATAATTTTCAGAAATATGATAAATTATTAATAATTAAGATTAATTGGCTAGTAATATATAATATATTTTTGTCATTTAACTGTTTTTAATATCATGATGTTATTTTCTTATATGATGCAAAAACATTTTAAAATTATTCTCTGTATGTGTGGATTAGAACTAGCTGACAAATTGATCACATCATTTTTATTTGATTGCATATAATATGATTCGCAAAAAACAATATATAATTGTTATTTCCATTAAAAAAATTATACATGTAAAATATAAAATTAATAAACTATTGCATTGAACTGGTAATGAAGTGCTGTATAAAACAGTATGTGGTAGTCTGTTTCTGATTGCAGCAGAGTAAAAACAGCACATGCAAATACTAAACAAGAAACTAGAGAAAGTGAAATGTATTGTTTCAATTAATGAGAATAATTAAATTATGTTATTTTAGAAATTATCTTTGTTGTATTCTAAATAATGTTTTAATTTTGAGCAAAATGAGTATGGTAAGGAAGCAGTTAAAAATAATAAGGTATTATAAATTATGCAGTAGCATTTGTCTTTAAAAAAAGGGAGTAACCTGAAATATTATTACAATACAGTAAATAACTATAACTGTTTTGTAACATAATTTTATAAGAGAGAGTTAATAAACTTTCACAAAAAAAAAAAAAAAAAAAAAAAAAAAAAAAAAAAAAAAAAAAAAAAAAAAAAAAAAAAAAAAAAAAAAAAAAAAAAAAAAAAAAAAAAAAAAAAAAAAAAAAAAAAAAAAAAAAAAAAAAAAAAAAAAANAAAATATATATGTATATATATATAAATATTTATATAAATAAAACTTAATTTAAAAGCAATAATTTTATAACTATTTCAAGTATAAATTATAGATATGAAAATGAAAGCATAATATAAAATATAAACCCCATATAAAAGTTGACCCTAGTATTTAATGAACATTTGCCAGAATTTTTTTCATTGCAAACAAATATGAAAATTAAATATAAAAGTTTCATACTTTTAAAAAAAACTGGCAAAAGCATCAAGTTTTTCCAGTTACAGAAACAGACTGCTTTTTTCTGCAACTTTTACTACCACACCTGAAATATGGAAGTTGATAAGAATTTAAATCTATTTTTAAAGTCATACTTTAATCTCCTTGGCATAATAAATTACTATATTGTTTTCTAGCTGGAAGAATAGCCTGTGTTATTAAAAAACAAATAGCTGCATCTTTACTTGTAAAGAAATCACTTATTTTATTTTCATGTGGATAAAAAAAAATTTTAACTTTTGCTTTCCTATAGAAAATGGGCCCCAACTTAAAGGAGTGCCAAATCTGTAATATTACTGTAATTCATTGTTTTTTTTTTTTTTGTTTTTATTCATTTAGAGATCAGTTAGGCTTCTGCTACTGATTCGGTGCTTTTGAATCTGGCTTGAATTTCAGCCCCTCAAAAGTAGTATACATAGTTGATCCCCATAAATTTGACCTTAAAAAATGGTAAAAAAAATCCAACTTTTATATGGAGTATATATGGTATAGTGATTTAAATTAAAGAATAGTTTTAAATTTTTTATGAGAGGAATACATTAAACTTCAGTGTTTTGAATGAAGCCATTTTTTAAAATAAAATTTTAATTACTATTAAGAGTTTTGACATTACCTGTAGAACAATTGTTGCATAGGTAGTCAATAGCTCAACACAATTTCTTAATGCCATCTGTTGTTGTTGAAGAACTGTTACTAGATCTGACTCTGCATGCTCACACTAGAATTATAATTATTTTCATTTAAAAAAATCATCAATCAATAAATAAAATGGTTACTTTAATTATCTGGCTTAATATGACAGGTAGCTGAGCCGAATATATGAAGATTGAAGGTACAGTAAATATGATATTTTAATACAAAATTTTCAGCAAAATTAAGCCAGTAAGACATCTGCAATTACTATGAGCATTATCTGCAGAATAACACATTTTTACATTTTTTCACTATTATTAAATAATATTGTACTGTAAAAAAATACAAAATAACTATAAAAATATAATTATTTTGTTACTTTCTGTTTATATAAAAAACTTTATGACATAGCTGATCAGGATGGATAATCATGGGCCAGATGATCGTGAATGTACTGTAATAATAAATAAATAACAAACTTTACCTGTTGTACCAACTGCCCTTGGCCAGCCGACTGTAAAAATTTTACTACAGGTGCTATGGTTAACGAATTTATATTAAGGTCAATGGCTACTTCAGAACACCATTTTCCCAATTCAGGGCCACAGACAGATCTAAGCGATTCCTAATATATAAAATAAATAAATAATTTAAGTAATTTTAATAATTCTTAAAAGTTATTTTGATATTAAAAAATATTGACAGAGAAATATCAATAATAAAGCTATATTGGTTTTACTGACATCAAACATTTTCAGTAGAAGCAGACATTGAGCACATTACAAGGAAAGTCAAAAATCTCAAAAAAGTTGAATATTTAAGGGTCCACAAGACATCAAAGTTAGACTTTCAATAGAGAGGTTGAGGCAGATGTTTTAAACATGTAAACGTGTAGGTCGGACGTTCGGCGCCGCTTTCCCGTAAGCCTAAAAGTTTGACAATGGTGTTTGGATAGTCGGTGGAATCACACTCGACATTCCAAACACCATCGTCAAACTTCTAGGCTTACGGGAAAGCGGCACCGAATGTCCGTCCTACACATTTAAAACGTCTGCCTCAACCTCTCTAATGTCTCAGAACATCACTGGATAAGTAATTTGTGCCATCTGCCAAATTTTATTTACTTGCTTTTTTTTAATCAAGTTTCTCTGCATTATTTTAAATAACAGCATTTTCATTTTGTCATACTATTGATTATTATTTTTTATTAGATTTTTTAAATGTTAAATATAATTATTTAATACATAATAAATATTGTTTAAAATATCATTATAAATTGCAACATAGATATAAGAGTATCACAAAGACAACATTTTCATCCAATATACATTTATTTGGAGATACCTCAACACAAGATGCAGTCTAAAATCTTCCTGACCTTCTTGACCAACAAACAGGTCAAGAAGGTCGTCGTCCAATTCAGTGGTCATCCCTCTGGCTAGTCCTGTCAGCCACCCAGTTCCTACTAATCCAGCTGATGTCCAAATTAAACGCTAATGGACTTGAACTAATTGCAACCATTAATATTATTGATTATTACAGGGAGTCATCAGTAGAAGTAAGAGACTTTCTCCTCCCCTTTGTAGGACGTCCAAGCCAGCTAGCAATCACCGAATTTCAAGGATCCAGGTATTCAGCTCAACTAGTAAAATTTATGTTAACTCTCTCTTGCAGATGTTAGGTGCAAATAGATTATAGACACCTATAGATAAATCTTATGATGTCATATTTATGATGCATGTATCTCCAGCTTATGTAAAATTAAATGTTGTTTGTTTTATTGTTAATTCAGTAGTTGAGTGTCTTACTTTTGGGCCTTCCTGTCTCTCTAAAATTTCCCTCCTTCATCCCTTATTCTATAAAAGTCCTACATAAGTGGCCACTCACACAGTTTGAAGATTCCTGTGAGCCAAAATCACAGGTGATGTTAGTCCTGATCACACTTACACAGTAAATTAAATTTTTAAAATTAAAATAAAAAGCTTTACTTTGAATTAATGCAAAGTAAAAATTTAAGCATAAATATAAACAAAAATATACTAATATATATATTATTTTATGTATATATATACACATACACACACACAAGTTGACCTAATACATCTCCTAAAAGGATAATTGCGCAAACAAATTGACTCAGAGAAGGAAAGACAATGTCTATTACATTGCCTTGGATTTTTTTCATTTAAACTGTTTGTCTTCTACATTTTGAAAGATTCTTTTAATCATACACATCATGGATTCAGTTAGACATACATGAGGATGGCCAAATGATTAGGTTGAGAGAGACTGCCCATATAAAATTCACAGGGATCTCAACCCAGACTAGAACCAAAATATCCAAAATGAAGGCTGATCCCCCTTTTTAAAGCACTTTCCGCCCTGTGGGCACTAAGAGGACCTCTTTTTAGCAAGCTCATTATGGGTTCAGCCAGGCCCACAATGGTGCAGCCAGGTGGTGAGGGATGGGGCCACACTGCATTAGCCATCTTGTAGTTATAACTAAATTTGATACAGTACACACAATCCAATTTTGTTTAATGCTGAATTGCAGACTTTGCCACTCAGCTATTCCCCAACTGTTTGTGGTTGTTTTGTTACAGTTGGTGTAGTCATATCTATATATATATTCGAGACAAGTTGATGATAATAATAAGTGCAGAGCCCAAATGATTAGGAGTTCAAAGCTGAAATTTGGTACACAGTTAGGGTACGCCACGAAAACACACACTAAGAAGAAATTTTTCGAAATTCCCCAGGGGGAGAGGGACAGGATTAAGCTTAACACTTCCATCAACAATAGAAGTGTTAAGTAACAATGGAAGTGTCAACAATGAACGTGTCAACAATGGAAGTGTTACGTAACAATGAAAGTGTTAAGAGAAAGCGATGTTTTAAGAGAAAGTGCAGTTTTTTTTTGTTTTTGCAGGAAATCAAAGATATTTTTAGACCCATCTAAAAATTCTCTAATTAGTCTGGAAACGGGGGACCCAATTCTAGCATTCTGTGAAAACAGGTAAGGCTGACTATAACGTAATAATCTTAATCTTCGCTATCGTTACCTTTGACTGAGTAACGCTGGGCCTACCTGCTAGTTAATCATATAATGTTGTTGTATCATACTGGGCATTTAAGTTAAAAAAAATAAAGTAAGAATAAAATCATAGGAGCATCCAGTGAAGCAAGAATGCCACCCAGAATAGCATAGCATAAAATATAGGCAGGTTTATCACTTCAATATTATGTGAAAAGATTTTGACTTTTACATTAATGCCTCAGAGATCTTTTTCTATTAAGAATTTCTTTTCTTGTTGACTATATGGTAAAGTTTTAAAGTATGTTGCACTAGCTACAGAGAAACACAAACTTAAGAAAAACTTTAAATAAATATACTTTATTTTGTGATGCTTTGTTGAAATGAAAAAAGTTTTGTTGAAATGAAATGATTGTTGTTGAAGAAGAAAAAACTCTTATAAATGAAAATAAGTTATGAAAATGAAGTTTCTTAAAAGGATATTTTATTTCATTGAGTGTTTGAAATTTTAACATGTCAGGTGGCACCTTGATATTATGTGAGGCAAGCCATAAATTTTTCCTAAAGCTGTTCTGCCATTATCTGTGAGGAAGTGTCAATTATGTACGGTCATAATTCTGCAATATTCACAGCTGCTGTTTGGAAAATGCTTTCATTTATATAGCCCAATAAAAGAAATCTAATGGCGTCAAATTGCGCAAGCAGGGAAGCCATGGATATAGAACTCCTTCAGCAATCCAACTGCCTGTATGGCATCCAACCACTCTAACTTGATTAACCCAATAGGTGAAAGCTCCATTATGTTAGTAGAAAATAGAATTGTAAAGATCTAGATTTTCAAACAGTGGTCTAACATGCTCTATTAAGAGTTCCTTGGAAAGTTGGAATACCATCAATAAAAAGTTCAACTTGAAAAGTTGAAGATACCATCAATAAAAAATTGCCAAATATCCAACAATCAAGTAATCTAGCCAGATGTTAACTCCCTGGATGTGTTTACAACTTGAATTAGTTTATAAGTAAATAATGACTAGTATTAGATAAAGAGTTAATTTTAATTTACAGTTAACAAGATTTATTTTGCACATTATAATGGCATTTTCTATCATCCCTTCAATGTATCATATTAGAAATTATTAACACATCATGTATTTTTAATTTCAGGTCATTTTATAATGTATATAAAAAATTATAGTCTCCTAGCAACTTAAATATTCTCAAATACTTTATTAAAATTGTATTTATGTATATAAATATAAACTAAAAGATACTCTTCATTTTTTACATGTTATAAATAATAAGCATCATCATATAAAGATTAATACATTAATATTTTAGTATATTCTTGTACACAAGGGTATCTGCAGACTGAACAAAAGGGGCACTTGTCCCTCCCTGAATTGAATAAAATATTCTATACATTCTAATTGTAAAAGTAATTAAAATCATGGTATGCTCTATCTTTTCATGCTGATGTAATATTGTATTCTATAATCTACTTATGAAAAAACCCAAAATTTAAATTTTTAACACTAGTTCAATTATACTTACACAATGAAGATTTTGCCATTTCTTGCATTCAGCTAATTTTTCTTTAACTGCTTCTTTGGAAGTAGCCACAGTTTCTTTTACAATAGCATGTTCTTCAAATCTGTTTAATAATTAAATTCAATAGATTAAAAAAAAATTCTTTTTTTATGCAAATATGATTTAAGTGCCAAAATGTGTTTTTTGAGGAAAAGGAAAAACTTTTTGACCATGATAAATAAAGCAAATGTTTATTTCTACAAGCACAAAGCTCTTCAGAAATATGTAAGCCAACTGTTCAAAGAGGAGGTTTTTGTCTGTATACAATAAATGTAAAGAAACAGTCATAAACAAGACAAAGTTGGAAATGATCTAAATCCACATAATATAAAATGTAAAATTTAAATACACAGTCTTTATTCACTTAAAAAACGGCATTGAAAAAGTTCTCTTCATTTGTAAATTCCAGTTTACCACAAATATCTTTCTTATTGTCACTCAGTCCACAGATTCCAAATGAAAAAAGGTCCAACAAAAGATTTTACCTATTCAAAATTGCAGTATGTTATAGTTGTTAAAGTGTCACAAGTGTTTTTTAGTATACATCTTGAAGATACAATTATACTTATAATACAAAAAGTTTACAAATCTTACAAGTGCAATTCCAGTCAGACACATAGATCAAGTAACCAGTGGAGAGCCTCTGAACATACTGCAAGCCCCTTATGTGTTGATACTTATTAAAATAAAAATGAAAAGGTATTTGGCACTTGAATCATATAGTGCTGCAATGGTCAGTTTTGTGCAAAAAAAATCTATATTTTTATATTTTGGCATGTAATTATTTAGTTTTTGCATTCCTAATATATTTTAAATAAACACTTAAAATAATAGATAATGACTTAATGTGTTGCTATATTTTATCAGTATACAATTTAAATCACAAACAATGTAAAATGATAAAAATATCTAAAAATTAAATTTAGAGTATGCCTAAATACTACATTGTGCCTCTTTTACAATCAAACTAATTCCCAGAAAATTGATGTTAAATGAGTTTTTGTATTTGTCATAAGCTCAGTGTTGTAAATTGAGATTATGTCTCTAAAAATATGGTTTTAATTGTATAATACCACATAAAAATGATTTTTTTTGCAATCATAACCTAATTATGTGAGTGAACACTTTCTAATCATTCATTCTATGACTGATATAAATTTGATATTTGATTTTTTTAACCTATTAACATTTTAATTTAATAATGTGCCAAATTCAAAAAATTCTAGTAACGAATTGTATAATTTTCCCAGTTGTTATAAAATTTTGTTTAAAAAAATAACTTTTTTATTATTAACAATAATAAATAAATTTGTGTGGGGCATCATTTGTTAAGAGATTTTATAAAAATTTTATATATTTTTAATTATTATAAAATGGTAAATGCTTAATTTTGAGAGTAGAGATGAATTTTAAAAAACTGTAAATGCTAACGAGTAAAATATTCATTAAGACCAACCCCACTCAAAATATGACATTTGACCACCCTCTATCTCTCCATCCCTTTGACCTTTTACAACCAAAATTTAATAGTATCAACACCCCTTATAAGCTAATGTGCCAAATTTCATTTCTTAATCTTTATTTCATCCTGACATATTAAATGAAGTAGACACTAACCCACACACACACACACAGAATTTTTTGCCATTCATTTGATTTTTTGGATTCAGGAGATATCAAAACATGGAAATTTACAAAAAACTCTGAAGACCAAATTTGAAATAATTTCAATACTTTCTCTTGTTCTAACATCTAGGAAAGTAAAATTAAAATTCATTTATTATACAAAAAGTTTGTCTACATTTTAATTTTGATGAAATTGTATAAACTGTTTTCTCTATTAAATAGTTTTTATAATATGCAAAATCAGAAAAATTATCAATATTTTAATTTAAATAATATTTCTATTAATAAATATTCTTATTTTATCTCTCTCTTTTCTTACAAAATAAAATTTAAATTTTTGTCTATACAATATTTAATTTCTATATCGGAAAATAAAGATATGCAGTTGTAGATTTAAAAAATAACATTTCATTTTGAAGCCAAAACAAGTGTTTCCTCATATTTATACAGTCGAATTCCCATTATTATGTTATCAGTTTATGCAAAATCTGCATTAATGCAAAGTAGATTTGTGGTCCTGGAAGAAGGATATGCAATTCAAAGTTAACATTTTTGGTTAATACAAAATACAGGAAATTTCTGCTAACTCACATACTTTTTTGAAAAACTGTATAGTAATTTAAGATTTCTTAACAGAAAAATTGTAATTAATGAGTAATTATAAAAGTGAAATTATAATTAACGAGTGCTTTCGGTATATGTAATACTACGCATTATATTACCACAATGAATAAGTTACTGAACTCCGTACGTAGCATTTATTGTAGTCATGAAACATTTTGAGCTCAATTCCAATAAATTCAGCAGTAAAACCTACTGAAGCTTGGTAAAACTTCTGTATAGAGCTGATCATAATAAAATACTCTACTGTACATCCATCATCTCTTTTCCAAGTCATTAGACAAAAACACCCACTAACTTGGACTTTCAGAAATTATGACAACCTTCACCCCATATTAATTCAAGTTAGCAGGGTTTACCATATTAATTAATATGTAATACAAAGTGTTCATGGTCCTGGATCATGAAACTCCACAACATTTACATTACATTGTTTAATAAAAAGCAGGCACTGCTTTCAGCTTCCCCAAAGCCAAAGTAGCAATGCATAATCAATGAGTGCATTTTTTTACTAACATTTGCCATAACACTTATGCTGATTTTATTGTTGTCACTGGCAACAGAGGTCTTGACACCACCAATGATGTTCACTCCAACTCAAAAAAAATTACACTTTCTATAAGGCTGAACACTTAGTTAAGACAGAAGCATATGCATTGGACACTGGATGTTAATAAAATTAGAAGAGTTTCAACTAAAAATCTTTGGTTTTATGAAATATTCTTATTTTTAATTATTTTAATAATAAAAATAACAAAACTCACTGAATTGCAATATTTCATACTGTAATTAGGTTGTAATTTTAAAATTAGAAACAAACCATTCAAGAAATAATTTATTTGAATTTCAATGGAAACCACTAAAATTCAAACAAATAAGTTATTTCTAAATTTGCAAAGTTTTATGCATATCCATCTCCCAGATTCAATTTGATGGATAGGTCAGTCTGTTACATCCAATAGTTTTAATTGTCATTCTACTAACTCTAATATCAAAAAATAAACATTGATTTTTTTCTTTGGGCTACTGTATTTCAATGAAGTGTATGTTTGGAGCAACACACATTTATTTATTTATTTTTAAAGAAAAATGTAATAAAAAAACTGGAAGAAAATTTGGCTTTCACCATTCAGTAGTATAACTTTGATTTTTTTTGTAAAAATTGTTTAATATAAACCTTATTAACACAAAGTTCCAATTTTTAAGTCCCTTCAAATTTGTATTAATTCCTTTGTAAAATATTTAGATTATAATATCATAGGAGTTAGTTTTAAATTAAGATTTATATATACAGTAATACCCCGACTTATGCGAACCCAGAGTTACGCCATTTTCAAATCTCGTCGATTCGTCTTTTGTTTGAGCGCCTTGATTACTCACTCCCCACACACTATTGTTCAGCTTACATGTTCAAATGTGTCGAGCAGAATCCACACATAGCTACAATTTATTTTGTGTTATTTATTTCTGTGTTTGTTATATCTACGGAGACTCGAGAGACTCTACTATGTCATCCAAACGAAGTAGAACTAATTCTTCTGCATCAAACAAGAAAAGAAAAACTTTATCTTTGGAATGTAAAGTTAACATTGGGTATGTTCGTAAAGTCGAACGAGTTAAACGAGAATGACGTCATCGTTATTCCTATTTCGTTAGACTTTTCGAACGATTCGTTACTAACGCGTTTAACTCGTTTGACTTTACGAACGTACCCATTATTAAAGACTTCGATACAAAAATGAAAATTTGTGAATTGGCAAAGAAGTTTGATCTACCGGAATTGTCGGTCAGAACAATTATAAAAGGCAAAGAAAAAATTCTCGAAGCTGTGAAAAATGCTCAATCTTTAAATTCAAGCATCATTCGTAAATGTCACAGTATTATCGTTGAGATGGAAACAATGTTAAAATTATGGCGTAATAATCAAGTAAATGTGAAAAATTGTAAAATAATATAAACCTAATTTGTTATACATATGTATTATCTAAGATTTTATTAAACATTTTTCTCTAAATTATTGTTTTCTTTAGTCTCCGGCCCCAATTAAAAATTATTTGTATGTATTTATATGTGAAATTATACCCCGACTTAAGCGAATTCGATTTACGCAGTTACCACTCGGTTCCACCTATCGCGTAAGTTTGGGGTATTACTGTATATATATATATAAACTGAAAAATAAAATTTTTTATACAATATATATACAGTATATATATTGTATAAAAATTTTATTTTTCAGTTAAGGTTTTAAAATATATTATGCATACCTTTTTGGAAGGGAATACAAAGAGTGGGCTGAATTTGTCTGAGCTTCTTCCAACAATGCTCTTTGTTGACATATCTCAGGAAGCTGAGTTTCAGTACTTTGTAATTCAATTTGAGCTTTGTGCCAGTCTTGCAAATGAGATTTCAACTTAGGTAGTGAAGCCACTAATTCTTCCCTAATTTCATTAATTAGAGAAATTAAATTAATAAATAAAATTATAAAACATAAAATACTTATTTATTTATCTTAATTAAACTTAAATTTATATAGCTTTGAAAATCTGTTAATGCATCTGCTAAATGTTATCATTTTTGTTTAATTGATAGAGTAACTTTCTTAAAGAGTATCGTAATAATAACTGCCTAAAGGATATTGTAACATAACTAATTTTCACAAGAGTACAACTGTTTATTGCTAATACATCATATAAATCGTAATAAAATTTTGCTATTATGTAAGAATAACCTTTGCATGTATACAATTTTCATCAATTTTTCAAAATCTCAAGTGAAAATACAGTCAAGATGTTAATAAAATATCAAAAATTATCT